TAAGTATATAAATATTTAAGTATATAAATATATAAATATAAAAATATATAAATATATAAAAATATATAAAAATAAAAATATATAAACATAAACATATAAATATATAAACATATAAATATATAAATATATTTGTATATAAATATATTTGTTTGTAAATTATTATCAAAAAATTCTAGTAGCTTAGTGGTTGTTTTATCAACCTCTAACTCTAAGGTATTAGGTTCGAATCACGCTAATAAAAATTCTCTTAATCTAATAATAATTCAAAGCTATGATAATCCTACCAATGAAAATTCTCTTAATCTAATAATAATTCAAAGCTATAAAAATATAATATGAAGAAATAATAAGAATATATAAAATAAATAATAAAATTATTACCGACGGATTTTTTGGTCAGTCGAATTACGTCTGTAATATTCATTTATCGACGGATTTTGACCGTCGGTAATTTTAATATTTCTTGTAGTGTAATTGATGAAGAAGTGAATAATTGATGAAGATTAGACGAAACTTTAACAGATAGTCGAGTCTCCTCTTCTCCAAGACTCTTCCTTTCTCAAAACACATTATTTTTTTATAAGAGAATTTGGGTCGGGCCTCGCATCATTCATTCGCTTAAGCGTTCTTATTTCTTTCAATTTTTCTTCAATTACTTCACAATTATACTTCTTACTCTTGTATCAAGGTATTCTCGAATTCATCATATATTGAGAGAAAAATATATTAGAATTAACATAAGTTAAGTTGTTTCATAACAATTCAAGGCATAATTATATCAACTTTTTACCACTTAACAATATTGCATTTCAATTGGTAATATTCTTGATCAAAGAATGGAAAGTTGCCACTATGTAGAGTATGGTTTTTTTTTCTTCACATGTGAAATATAAGAAAAAAAAATCAAGATGACCTAGACACCAAATTATAGTTATATTATTCTAGAAATTCTTTAGTGCTAAAACAACTAAAATGGCAAATCATGAGTGATTAGGTAGAGAGTCAAAAGCAAATTTCTTTAATGAAGCCTCCACCAAAAACAAAAGGTTATTAAATAGCAAGTACATGAGAAAAACAAGTCTATTTGGACTAGAAAAATAATAATTTGAAAGTTAAAAATATGAAATATATATATATATATATATATATATATATATATATATATATATATATATATCACTTGATAACCATTTTAATAATATAATAATTTGACAGTTAAAAATTTGAAGCCCTCAAATTTCTTTAGCTACAAAACTCTTTTTAAAAATATGTAAGAGTAGAATATTAAATAATATTCAATAAGTTTTAAGAAAAGGCTTGGTTCATATTTTGTGTGACTTTAATTTTAGGGTGTCTTTTGTCTAACCCAATTACATTGAGTTGTTGAAAATTGGGGATATAATTTTATTATTTCTTTATCTTGTTGGAAATGTATTTTGAATCTTCTTTGATCTGAAAAAATGGAGCTTGAATTGAATTTGTGAAAACAAAGAAAAATAGATTTTGTAGATTTTTTGTAATTTGTATAGATTTTTGCTAAATGATTTAAATTATCTTTAATTGTTTGTAAATTTTGTCTTTTGAAAAATAACTACCTGTCTCAAATTGTTTGTTAGATGTGTTGTGAGACAAACACCAGTAAACATCTATTTGTGTTGTAACTTTTGGTTTAAGTGTGTGAATGAACTAAACATGATCTATTTTGAAGTTCCTGACTTGTGTTTACATGTAAGCAATATTTAACACTTGAGTTTATATATATAAAAAAAAAAACCGATTATGTGCATGCTAATGGGTTTGTTCTACTAATATATAATGTTTGTGAGTATTATGTTTGGTAAAAGTGTTCCCTCTAGGTGAAGTTAGAGGAGTTTGTAAAAGAATTATGTGATTATTTTGCATAATTTAAGTTGATTATTATAGTTATACATATATAAGGTTGTGTACATCTAAGAAAGATGGTATGTTATTATGGTAGGTCTTTAGAGAAGGATTCATCGGACATAAATTACACTAATAAAACATGAGTCTAATCTATATAAGGATTGACACCACTTTCAACCTAAAACTTTAAGACTTTGGGTTATGGATATTTCTTTCTTATATATTGCTCAACTTTCTCATTCTTACATAATGTGAGACTTAAACTCACACTTGTATTTCCTGATAATCTTCCCATTTAGATAGAAATTTTTCTACATTGGTATATCCCTTCAAGCTCATTAGTATTCCTTCGATACTATCATTTATCATAACAAGACACATCTGACCTACTGTCAGGAAAACTTTGAATATAAAGACTACTTTTAAACTATCGATCAACCTTCACTCTGATATCACTTGTTGGATCTTTCGAGGAGGATTTACGGGAGAAAAACAACACTAATAAGACATGATTACAATTCACATAAGAGATTGACATCTCTGATATCACTTGTTGGATCTTTCGAGGAGGATTTATGGGAGAAAAACAACACTAATAAGACATGATTACAATTCACATAAGAGATTGACATCGCTCTTAACAATTTTTCTATAGATAGAAGGAAGAAAGATTGATAAGAGAAATAAGGCTTTTTGCATGTCAGATTTGTTTTCTTTTCGTCTACAATATGATGGGGATTTGTAATTGTTTTCTTTATAGTTCCAGTGGGATGGCTTTTTTTTTTTTTTTATCGGCATTAAAGAATAAAATTAATAGAAATATAGGGGTACTTCAACCCATATACATCGGAAATAAACTAGATGAAAGAAAACAAAACAACCTGTTGAATCCCAAACTAGCCTACAAGGAAAAAAGCTGGGAAAATCACAAAAGCCCTAGAACATCAGTAGGGCAGAAAGAAAATAGCTTCAGAGGCAATCCCAACATAACAAAGATAAAACTTACACATGCCAGAGTCTCAAGATACAACGAGAGAATACATATAAATCTCAAAAAAATACTCTCCATCAAAAAGTACCCAAATAGTATGTTGCCCCGAGATTTAAGTTTTCTTTGAAACCACAAAACCTCCCATATATGATAAACTAATATGTATTAAATTCTTTGAATATCTTTCGCATAGACTAATACCAATTGGCTCGCATTAAGAATTGAGCACCTTAGCATACTAATCAAAAGAGGTGAAATAATCACAACTGAAAAACCCCTAAGCCTCTAGAGAGATAAGAGTTCAACAACTTCTAATTCATGGCTCAGAACAAGACGAGGGTTTCGCGGTAATATAGATTACAGTGGGTCTTCGTTTTTCTCAAGCACGACAATATATATTACAACAATGACCATAATCAGGCCATATAAATCTTAGAAGCTCCCACCCCTCCATCTACTTGTAAGGTTTATGATCTTTGTAGTAGACTTCACTTCATTAACCTGCTAAAACATATATCAGTCAACAAAGACAAGTGAAAAGCTATAGAACAATTAACTTCAGACATCTTATCGGTTCATAAAACTAATATAGGAATTTGTTATGTTGGCTCTATGGGATGTGTATATATATGCATCCTGTCATTTTCTGATGCCACACACATGAGTCCAAATGCAATAGACATTTTTAGCTTTTAATGGGAACCAATGTGATGGATTAAACAATGCAAGGAGCTTTGTTTGGTTCTCCGCATATCACAAAATAAACACATTTTTAACATTTTATTTCTTACCCTCTTCTTCTAAGATTTGTATTCCTTTCCAACTTTTTCTTAGAAATGCTTGGAGCTCATCTTAGATAAATTTATATACGAAATTATTAAGTTAAATTCATAAAATAATAATAATAATAATAATAATTTTTTTAATGAGGCCATGACTCCTAATTGAGTGTCATGCATTTTCATTTTTTTTCCAGAGTCATTATAATCTAATAATACAATAAGACAATCAACAGGTAATCATAACCCTTTTAAAATTGAACCATGTTTACTCCTGTTAATGTTTGCTTTAGATTTGTGAATTAGGGGGAATTCAATTTGTTTAGACGATGATGGCTGAAGTTTAGTGGAAGATTATTTACCAAAAAATAACAATAACAAATATAAGTAAGAAGTTTAAAGAAAAAAAAAAAAAAAGATAAATATGTTCTACTTTACAGATTGTTAGAAGATTTAGAAATGTCCATTAATTAGTTATGTACACACAAAAAAACTTATTAAAAATATATGTTAAAAAAAAATTACAAATTAACTTATATATTAATCATTTTGAACTTACGAAGAATTTTTTTTCTTTTCTTACATGTTTTTGTTTTAAAAGATATTGCATAAACACTCGTCCAAAACATATTCATACTCGTCTTACTGACTTTTTAGCCTCCCAAAATGAGGGCTGAGTTCATGAGCTGTGAAAAATTAAAGCAGTGCAGAGCTATACCTACCACCAACCCAATCCTAATACTTCTACAATCTAACTACTACTTCCCACGGTTGATTACACATACGACCATTTAATTTACTTAACTAAGCGTGTATGTGGTTTCTCATTTCTAACCTTCAATTTATGTTTGGGATGTACAAAATTTATTTATAGTAACATCAAACAAAACGTACACTCTACTTTTCTTGCATGTTCAACTCACTCTTCTGTTCTGGTACCGTTATTTCCATGCAAAAGCCACTCAATATAGAAAAAATTTAGTTCATTATCATAAACGTTTGGTGTGATTCTTCTGCTTCAAATTTTATCTAATACGCAGTTACATCAATATAAAATTCTAATTGTCTGACAGAACAAATAATGTCCACAATACTAATGATACTATACAACCTCACTAATGTTGACTCTGAGGAAAAAGAGAGGTATTTAATTTTACTTTACAAAATTGATTCAATGAGAAAAAATTTATATTCACCAATATAATGTATATTTTAGAAAAAAAAATAAAATATATTATTAAATAAAAATACACCTATGAACTTTAAGATATACATATTAGTGACAAGTAAATTGGTTCAATATTTCTACATGTAGCCAATTCTAATGGTTAGAGTGATAATCACTGTTAAAAGGTAGATAGCAAATTGTCCAAGTAATCACACCCCAGGTCTTGAAACACAAAAACATCAAGATCGTTTTTTACAATATTTTCCACTGTTGCCAATTTTTTTGTCACAGGTTTTCCATTCACAAATTCTTCTTTTCTCTTCCGGGCATTGCAAGAGTTTTCTTTGTCCGAATCGGTTCCTCTCTGGCCTATTCCTGAAGCCTGTGCAACAAAAGCTGTGTCAAGTGGGAAATTAAGGTTTGCCTTTGGACCTCTAATTCTCAAAGCAGCTTTGTCATAAGCCCTAGCTGCTTCTTCAGCTGTTTCAAATGTCCCAAGCCAAACCCTAGCACCTTTCTTTGATGAGTCTCTAATCTCTGCTGCATATTTACCCCATGGCCTTCTTCTTACTCCCCTGTAGTGTTTTACCACTGCTTTTTCTGCTCTCACACCATCTTCTTCTATCTCATTTTTTTTGGATTTAGCAGCACTTCCAATGTCCATAATGGTGTCTCCATAATCTTCCTTATTGCTTGCAGCAGTTAGAACAACACTGGATAAAACTTCTTCCCAGAAATCAGCCCCCATTGATATCCATCTCCTAAACTTGGAAGCCTTTTCAGAATTTCCATTGATCCTTCTCTTCCCTCAGGGTTAGGCTGTTCTTCCATGGAGTGAGAAGAGGACTCTGTTGCATCACAATCAACCCCTCTATCACTGTTCATGAGTTTAGCCCACACATCCTCAAGAATCCCTGCATGAATAGCCATGTTTGGAAGTCACAGAAAAAAAAAAGGAATATATAGTGAGTGAAGATATAGAAAGAACATGATCGAAGTATGGAGGCTCTTTGACAGATCAGCTTTGCTTTATTATGCCATATGAATAGGTACTTAGTTGGAAACTTGCGTGTTAATCCAGGAATCAAACGAGTTTTTGTAGAAGATTTCAGGATTTTCAACGTTAAGAAAGGTCTTGAAAATAATGGAATTCTAATACTATTTTATTGCTTTCCTTTTGACTTGTGTGCTTGTTCAAATTATTTATATGTACCCGTGTATATCTTGTATGCTTTATGCGTTGAATAGGAATATATTGGTTTACTACTTATGGATCAAACATTGAGAAACAGAAGAGCAGAAGCATTCTTGAGCTGTCATGAGATGAACTTGGTTGCTTTTTCTTTGCTTTTGGAACAGCTAACGTAATTGTATTTTTTGAAATATAATGTTCATCATCTCAACATATTTCTTTTTCTTGATAAACATTAATAGACTACAGATGCAAGTTCAAACTAGCTAGACATGTTTAGAAAAATCATTCTCTTATCTTCCCACTTATTAATTATTTATTAGGGTTTCTGTTCTCTCAAACTCTCTTAAACATGTCAAGGTCATTTGAATATGGAATATGAATCAGTTGTATCACCAAATATCTTAGATTCTTTATCTTCAAATTATTATAGAACCATTTTGATAACTCGAAACAACCGATCAACATCCAATAACATTAATATAATAAGAATTATAATTATTTAATGAATATAATAGGTTGTTGAGAACATATTGGGATTATGAATCAAACATTTTTCTTATCATTATTATTTTTTTACAACTTCTAATTGTTTTTTTCTCGATAAAACATTACTTTAAAACATTTGATTTTACTTTTTGATACACTATTTAAACCACTTTTAGGAAAAAAAGAGAGAGAAGAAGATAAAAACAATTATTATAGACAAAAAGAACAAAATAATAACTGGACGCTGCAAATCCAAAATTTTATTAACGATATAAACAAATTTTGATACTATTATTATTATTATTATTATTATTATTATTATTATTATTATTATTATTATTATTATTATTATTATTATTATTAATGTCTTATTTGAAGAATGTGAAATGATTTCTATAAGTTGTTCTATCTTTTTAATGTAAATATTCTTAAAAAATTGTAAAATATTTTCTTTAGTGTCTATTTTCTTTTTTACTTTTTAATATATATATATATATATATATATATATATATATATATATATATATATATTATTACCTTACTTGTATATACGTTACCGTAATGTAGAAAACATAATATGTTGCTAAGATAAAAAGTTAGAGATAAAAAGAGAATTTAAAAAAAAAAATCAGCATCCACATTGAATATATAAAGGTATATATATCACTTCCCATCCACATCTTCTTCCAAAAACAATATTTTGTTTCCTTTACATCACAAAGTAATCATTTCCAAAAATAATTATGAAAATATTTATATTTAGTATAATACGAATACTTTATTTAGTTTTTATATATTACTAATTTTTTTTAAGTTTGTAATAATTATTATTGAAAAAAATATTAATTTTATATTATATAAATCATTAAGTGATAAATAGGTTAATCCATGTCTTTAAGTGTCATTTAATAATATTTTTTTAAAATAATTCATTACATTACCCAAAAATCAATTTTTATTTAACATTTGATTTTACTTGTTAGCACACTATTCAAATTATTTTTAGGGGAAAAATAAAACAATTATTAGAGACAAAAAGATTAAAATAATAATTGGACGCAAATCCAAAAATTCATTAAGGATATAAATAAAAATTATTATTATTATTATTATTATTATTATTATATTCCAAATTCTTATAAAATGTGATTAAAAAAAGAGTAATGATATTTTGACAACTAGAAACCATACAACTCTTTAAACAACTCACTTTTATTAATATAATAATCTATAGACTGATTTAATAAAAATAAAAATAAAATAAAATTATTATTATAATATTAAAACAGAGTTGTTTACAGGAATTGTATGGATTTTGGTTGTGAAAGTATCATTCTCCTTTTTCATACCTTTTGCTAAACACCATTATTTAATCCAGCCTTCGTTTTGTTTTGTATTCATTATTCTTTTAGGAATTGACCGCTGGACCAAGACGAAGGGAGGTGGGTCAGATCTAATTAGTTTGGGCTATCAAATGCGTGGCAAGAGACAGACAAGCCCTATCAAATTGAACAATCAAACACAGTTGAACGGGCCCAAAGTTCACCCAAAATATAAAAGAGTCAACATCACTTATAGACATGAAAATAATTATGTTTTCTATGTTATTTCCATTAATTTATTTAATATTTTTACTACTTGAAATTTTTTATTTGGTTTTATTAATATTATATAAATATTTGAACGCTTCTTAACTAAGTTTTTTTTTTAGTATTATCTTCTAAATTTTATATTTATTTTATCTCTGAAACATTTATTAAATTTTTTTTATGACCCAGATTTTAGTTTATTAAAAGTAATGATAATGGAAATGATTGAAGTTTAAAATTTTTACCATTGTTTAAAAAGAGTTTAAATAGAAATTATTCAAACTTTATTTTTATAAAAATAACATTTTTTTTAGATCTTAAATCCTCTTGTTTCTTTTAAGATTCATCATCAAATTTTTTTATTATTTTTTTAGATTCAAACATGTTACAGTATTGGTAAGGATAAAAAGCATATATTCTCTATCAGTTTTTAGAAGATATTCTTAGACTAATTATAACGTAAGCCCTTAAGTTATATACTAATATCAAAAGATGAAAGAATTTTTGAAATTTCTTTTAGAATAAGTTTTTCCTTATTCATTTTTAGGTTGGATTTCTTTGAAGTTTTGGTTACATGTAGGTTTTAGATGTTGCATGTTAAATTTTGCAACAAGGTGAAGTAAAAAGCAATTCACTTTTGGATTTCTCTAACAAAAGTGGACCCACGACAAAGAAAGGCATAAAATCCCAATCAATCAATCAATCCATTCATTCAAGCATAACTAACAAGTAGGAACAAAAACATACCAAATAGATCGCAACAAACCATTTGACTTGCTTTGCATCATATCAAAACTCAATTTGTTCTTTAATTCCATCATAGTGTATTGGTTAATTAAGCAAATTCTTTGCTTTTCATCATTCATTACCTCCCTTCTCCCACACTTAACCAACTAACGCCAGCACTATACCTACTTTGCTACCACCATATCTAGTTTTTTGTGTCCTTGCACTTAAAGAAAAGAAATGCTTTTCAGGGCAATCATCACAGTTTATAAATATGACCAATTTCCATCGGCCACAACTGAAGTAGGTGTACTACTGGACTTGCTCCTAGCTTCCTAGGTCGTTAAGGCATACCCACCAACCTCCTTTCTTTCACTTTCTTTATTTCTACCACAAACTTGTTCATAAATATTGTTTCACTTGTTTCTAAGCATTGGAGTCTTTTGCAAAAGTACAAGAAGAATTTAAGGCAATGAGTACGGCCAGGTTTATCAAGTGTGTAACAGTTGGAGATGGTGCTGTGGGAAAGACATGCATGCTTATATCCTATACCAGCAATACCTTTCCCACGGTATGTTTCTATTAACTATGTTTCCTAATCATGGAAGGTTCAATGTTGCACATTGCATGTATTATTAGATGGTGAATCATTTCTTGACTTTTCTCTATTATAGGATTATGTTCCAACAGTGTTTGACAATTTCAGTGCTAATGTAACTGTGGATGGTAGTTTGGTTAATCTTGGTTTATGGGATACTGCAGGTTGGTCATCCTTCTTTCTTAAGTTAAACTCTATATTCTACATTCACATTAAATGACAATTCATGATTGAAGATAATTGGTAATTTGGTATAATTTGTGGATTGTAGGACAAGAAGATTACAACAGGCTAAGGCCTTTAAGCTATAGAGGAGCTGATGTGTTTTTGTTGTGCTATTCTCTCATCAGCAAAGCCAGTTATGAGAACATTTCCAAAAAGGTTCTTTCCTCTTTGCCTTGGATCCATCTTGGTTTATAACTTTAGTTCGGTTAATAGATTTGTATTGTGAAATTTTGAAATAATTATGCGCATTCATGTTGGATTCTTGACAAGCAGTGGATACCTGAGCTGAGACATTATGCTCCAAATGTGCCTATTGTGCTGGTGGGAACAAAACTAGGTAAGATAATTCCACTGAAACATCATAACGATTGTCATCTTGGGTTGAGAAGTAATGATATTTTTTACTTTTTGTTTTACTTTTTGGTTTTTAAGGAAAAGTGTAAAATTGGGGTGTACCTGCTGTTCAGTTTGTGCATACAGAAAGACAATCTTTGAGCCTCAAATTTTTAAATTTTATTCATTATTCACCTGGGAATGTTCATTGATGCAATACTCATCAACATATATTCAATTGAATGTTGTGAATTTGTGTCAATGCAGAAAACAGAGGAAGTAACAACGAGTTACAATTACAAAAGTTATCCATAGTGGACATTTTATTGTATTTTGGTTAATTGATAGGTCAAGATTCCACTGAGATTATTAATCCCAGAAAAAAAAATCATTATTTTTTACTTGATAACGTTAATCCGCTTCATGTGTAAAATTTCATCTATCCTTTGCTTACAAAGCACTCAAATTCGTCAATGGACTTCAAACCTAACACAAGTTTCCATTTAAATCTAATGTATGCACAGATTTGCGCGATGACAAGCAATTTCTGATTGATCATCCCGGAGCCACACGAATTACAACTGCTCAGGCATGTCCTCATCGAATTAAACAAAAAATGGCTATACTTAAACTGAATTTCCTTTGCATACATAGTAGATTTAACAATGGTTGTTGTGAGCAGGGTGAAGAGTTGAAGAAAATGATTGGTGCAGTGACTTATATTGAGTGCAGCTCCAAAACACAGCAGGTAAATAATACCTTCACTTCATTGGATTTAACTATTTTGAGTCATATTTTGAAATGAAACCAAGCTATACCCTAGGATGAAGTTGAAGGAACTATTGTTTCTCGAGCTTAATTGATAAAAATGTTTTCCACAAGCATTCTTCAATAAGAATTTACCATGCTGCCACATCATAGTATGTATGATACGGTAATATGATGAATTCTTATCTGTTATCTGTATGAAGAAAATTGCATTGGAAGTGCATATATAGATTAAACTTTTGTTATGTCATCACCCGATGATATCTGAATACGAATTGGGAGTAAAGTACATTGAATCGATTGTTAGAATTTTCTCTTTGGTGTTTTGCAGAATGTGAAGACTGTTTTTGATGCTGCAATAAAGGTTGCATTGAGGCCACCAAAGCCAAAGAAGAAACCGCGCAAGAAAAGGACCTGTACTTTCCTCTGATGTTTCATAATCATCCCAAATCATTTATATAGCATAATTGATGTCAATTTTTTAGTCTTTGTGATCTATATATATATATATATATAAGAGACTATGAGTTTATGGATTATTTCTGGGAAGAAGTTTAGATTCCTCTCAAATGAGAACTTAAGTGTTGCATTGTTCAATTAATTATTTCATTTTTTGCTGTGTCCAATTGTGGCTGTGTATTTTAGAAACCCCTCATTTGAATTTGGGAATCCCCGTTTGAGCAGAGTTTGTGAAAGAAAAAGGTTTTCAGCATCTGAGATAATGCAACAATTAAGACATGGGTTGTTGGTCTCATGGTCAAAGGTACGTGTTAGCAGTCAAGGTATTTTGACCCAATTAAAGATACAAACAACTCAAGCCATTACTTTTGACTTCTCCGCATTCCCAAAATTGCGGAGAAATACCATTAAATAGGATCGTTTTATGTTTATAAAATAGTATTAATTAAATTACATTGAAACGGAAAGAGTAATTCGCATGCCCAAACCGTTTTAAATCGGACATTAGACATGACATCCTAAAAAATAACTATAATTTTAATTTTAACAAAAAAATAGAGAGATTGAGTACTAACTTCAATCACGTACTAAACCCCAAAGGTGAAAACATGGGAGCCTAAAAATGCCCCCTCCCCCAAATTATTTATATATAATAATTAAATAAAAAATATTTTTTAAATATTAATAAAATTTAATTTTTTTATCTTTTTCATCTCTAACTTTTTCGCTTATAGTAAATATTATCTTCAAACTTTTTTTTTTTGCATAATTTCCAATTTTTATCTTTCTCTCTCTATCTTCAAACATTATCTTTTTTTTCTCTTATCTTTTCACCTTCCTACTTCAATTTTTTTATATCTCAAAGAGTCTATCTTTTACTTTCATATTTCTACTTTTTCTCTTTTATCATTCCTTCATTTTTCATATTTTTCTCCTTTTTTATTTTTCCGTTCAACATAAAAATTATAAATTTTTTCTTTAGTTTTTCAATTTTTTTCTTTTAAGAAAAAATTGTAACTTTCTATTTTTTTTCTCTTCTGTTCACATTAGAGACATTTCATATTGGAGAAAGGAAAAAAAGGTTAAAAAATAACGGATATATCCTATAATATTTTTCTTGGAATAAAGAAACACTTAGTTTATTGTTTAAATGTTTTATAATACACTATTTTAATGTTAAAATGTGAAAACAAAAAATTCAGGTTGAACTTTAGATATATCTAAGAAAAAAACTATAGATTCATTTTTGAAGAGAAAATAGAAAATAAATGATGAAATAAATTTTGGTTTACCAAATTTAAATTCAATAATTAATGTTGAAAATGTTATAAAGCAAACTACAACAACAACCTTCTTCTAAAATTATGAGAATTGAATATAAAAAAATTGATAATGATACTTTGATACAAGATTCTATAAAGCGTCCACAAATTTGGAATTATCTTATGAATCAACAACGAAATTTGTAGAGTATATATATGCAGTTTGGGCCTTATTAGTTTTCTATGGATGAGTATCCATTTTTAGGTTTAAACAATCATCATCATCATCGATTTAAAGCTAATTAGTTTAAAAGTTTTTCTTAATTAGAATATTCACTACAAATCGATGTTGTATTTTCTAGGAAATCTACTTCATTCACTATGGGAGAATTTAAAATTGGAAAAAAGTGAATAATAAAAAAGATTGCGTATTTTCATCTCATTGGAGAATCTCCTAATTCTCCTCACATTATTCGTGATATAAGTGCTTTTTTCTTTGATATAATTTAATCTCGTCATAAAAAAATATGTTGTCACAGGTGAATATTACATTTACTATTGTAATATAACAAAAGAGTTGAATAATAGATTCAATGAGCACTAGTTTAGTTCCTGAAGATGATTACAAAAATTTAATGTTTCTAACATTTGCAAGCTAGTTGAGAAATTATATTCTTGATAATTTTCTGAGTAAGAGAAGATTCAGTTCACATATATGAGTTACAATAATATGAATTTGATGTGCTTAAAGCTTCAAAATTTCAGAATTTGTCTACTATAATTAATGGAAACAACAAAATTAAATATATATCATTTGATTGATAGACCGATTCAATGTCTTACAATAACAACTAAATATGTATTTAAGGTTATTAAAATAAGACTTTGGAATAAGAAGGAAAATGATAATTACATTATTTATATTAAAAAGGAGATTGCTTTAAAATTTTATTCAAATGTGATAATTGATAATTTTTATAATTTGAAATACGGTTAAATGTAATTGACCTGTACTTAATTATATATATATATATATATATATATATATATATATAATTGTTTATATTTTTATAATTTTTAATAATTTTATATAACATATTTATTTTTATATATTGTTCTTCTCATTTAAAATTTTTGGTTCTGTCTTTGATCATACTAGTCATAATTATGATATAATTGCCACTTATCATGACAAAAAATTGTTCAAGAATCTCACATAACGATGCGAGTCACTTAAAAAATTCGTTGTACACTTACAAAGAAGATGAATTGCTAAAAAAAGATATAAAGCAATAATCTAACGTAAAAGAGTAGGTTTTAATTTTAAAAATACATCAATAATTTTTTTTATATTGAATAATAAGTAATCAAACGAATAAAGACATAAAAAACATATTTTGCAACTGATAAAGGATAACAAATGCTAAAAAGTATTGATTGATTAAAAAGATCTTCAATACAAACATGAAAAAAATATATCTTTTTTCATATTTTTTTCAATATGTTTTTAAAAAAAATATCATTTTTTCTCTAATCGTACGTTATTCTAACTACATTGATTAATAACATGAAAAATTTGAGAATACACATTCCATCTTTCAAATGGAAATGCAGTAACAGAGGGAGGATATGTATAACCAAGCAGCATGCAAAAAATGAATCAAGTACACCTGGATTGATTTCAAGTTATATTATTAGTATTTGGCAACAAAAACATATTTGATAAAGTTTTCAAGTCATGAAATAGTGGTTTCACCACCAATTGGTGGTGTTACTTTCTGTCTCTTAACACCACATTTTCTGTGCCAACGATCACATAAACATCAGGGTATCATCATGTGCACCAAAATTAAAGCATTCAATCTCTGTAGCATCTTCAGTATTTACTGCATGCACGTTAGCATTTACTAACTATTGTTGGCGCAACTTCAGCTACACACATACCTATCTCATGTTATGCATTAGATTAATGTCAAACATTTATTGATATCATGTGCATCTTCATCTATTCTGCTTTACACAACTGCTTCAAGGTTTATGTTACCATAAAGCTGATACGTATTAGGTTTAAATCGTGACTAAGTTTCAGATTGTTGTTGGTCAAATACTAAAATCTTAAAATTTTAATATATCATATACAAATAACATAATTTATATTATAAGTCTTCTGTAAAATTATATATTATAATTTAATTATATCTCTAATAATATAAATAAGATACGAATCAATTTTAAAATTGGTTTGGAAGATGAAATTTGTAAGTAATGATGAAAAATCATATTTAAAATGAGAGGATAGAATGAAAAATCTTCTTTAAAAAATATATAATGAAATTTCACATATTAAAATATAGGTGAATACATAAATTAATTTTACAAGATTTTTAGGTATTTTTCAATTTCTAATTTCTAATTATATATTGAGTTATATAAACTGATAGTTTTTAAGAGTTAGGTTTTGATGCATCTTCTTCTCTTATCTTTTAATATTTTGTTACTCTAAGAAATATTAGATTGAAGGATGTCTCTTTCTATTTTTCTTTATAAAATTGACTTTCAACAATGCAATGTGATCAATATAATGTCACCGTCATTGATCAATCTATGAGTGATTGGATATATATTCTTTTTGTTGGTCCAAAGCTACGTATTAAAATTATTTTTATAGGATTTATACGTAACAAATTTGTCATCCATTCACTATTCCCTTTTACATGAGGTTTCTCAAATATATAGTAAAATCATTTATCATAATTTATGAAAAAATTATCTTTGTGACCATGTTATCTTAGCCTACTATGTATACATTACCTTTATTAATATTTCTACACTAAAATATATAGTTTTAGTATCGTAAAATTTATCATAATTTTAAAATTAATGTTTTTAGAAAATATAAAATAAGTGAATTTTAATTTTAGTTCTTATAAAACAACTTTCTTTAATTATATTCTTCCCAAATTTAAAATTTAACATTTTTTATTTCCTACAACATTCATTTCAAAGTAGATAAATAATATTTTAAAAAAAATCTTAATAAAATTTAAAAGTGTCTCATCCACCTAGATCACAAACATTAGTGAGTATTTAGAATGATAACTTAACATTTTATTTTAACAAATAAAAAAATATATAAATAATTCTAATATATTTTAGATGATTTTATATACAAGATTTATGTAAAATAATATATTTTATTTATAAAAACTTCTTTACCTAATATATTCTTCATAAATATTTTTTTAAGTAAACTTTTAAGAATATTTTAACCTCGTTTCCTTTTATTGTCATTTGTGTGTGTGAATCATTGTTATATATGGTGAGTGCACTCATTGTTATATTAGAATAAATTTGAAGCAATGATTAGATTTAAACTCAAAGAAATTCATGATAATTACTATTAATCCGTTTAAAATTTTCTTTTACAATGCACTTACGCTCATTCATTGAATAATTATTTTAAAAATTATATATATACATACATACATATATATATTCTTATTAAAAAAATTATTATGTATTAACATAATATACATTTAAAATATTAATACGAACATTATTTTTGTTAATATATAATAAATACAATAAATTCATTATCAGGCCAAATACTATATAATCATAAGTCTACTTTTATTTTTATTTTTAGTTTGTTTAAAAAAGAGATTTTTTTAAAAACAACCATGTCCAAATATATAGATTCACCGCATATCAGTAAATTTGTATGTTTGGTGAAGCAAGAAGAAATATAAAAAATGATTGTAAAAATAATAAATATATAAAAAATAAAATCAAAATACAAGTCATGTAGTGTAAGAGAAATATTGAGATAGTCAATTATGTTTTTAAAATTAATTTAGATTTTTACGAAACCAAAAGCAAAAATTGTTAACGTTTGATTATTTATGTCAATTAAAGTATTTAAATTTATATATATATATATATATATATATATATATATATATATATTTGTGTATAAAACTCTTAAATATTTACTTTAAAAGAAGGAAATTATCCTTTTTTTTTCAACTCTTAAATACCTGCATTCAAAATCAAGTTAAAAACTAATTGTTATAATTGAATATATTATTATGTATGTTGGTATTGCTTTTACTGAGTGGTTGTTATCAGATAGCGTAAACCCCAACCAGTTATACAAAAGAATGAAATTATACATCAAATTGGAATATTTGTCTCTTCCAATCATTTACAGTACAATTTTTTGTGTGTGTGATGCTCCACTGCTGACTACTGAGAGTCTCAGATTATAATGATACTTCTTCAACCAATATGAACCTTCAAAAACCTTTAACTCTTCTTCCGTCACTCAGACTCAGCACAATGACTTGACAGAGTAAAAGAAGAGCTACAAGACTGTAGAGTCCTCACTGATTTTTCTCTCATTTTTGGTGCTGACAGAAAGGTAGTAACAGAAAATAAAATGATTAGAAAAGACAAATTAAACAGTTTTTAGATATTTTGCACATTAGACAAATTCATTAAATTCTCTTAGTAAGACAAAAAGAAAAAAGTTACACTTACATTGATTACTTCAACTCTTCCCTGCCACATTTGGCTTGAAAGAGTATATATATAGGCAGACTCAACCTAGCTATCCATGCATCTTCCAAACTCCATTGTGTTGTCATTCTCAAACACTGACACTTTAATCACAACCTTTTACAGCTGATTAACTCATCTTTGTATTCAAAGTTCATCATCAAGTACACTATACATGCATTCAATTTCTTAAAAAGACAAGACAAAGTTTGTACTTTGGTGTAAATGTAATGATCAAACTTTAGTCAGATTGCAACCAAGACATTCACCACAATTATGTCCAGATCAATTTGGAGGGAAAGGGTTTCCCAAAACGATTTCATATATGTTATAATAGAAATTTATATGTGACTTAAAATAGATAGAAATAAATAAATAAATAATTTAAGCAATTATAAGTTAGAAAGATCATATTTAAAGATTTTAAATTGATGAAGTTTTTTTATTTTTTTATATAGTTTATTCATATCTCATCTTAAGAATCTTTCTATGTTATCTTAGAAAGTGATTGTTGATCTCACTTATAAAATAATCATTTACATTAATTAAAGTTTTGTAAAAAATGAGTTAAAATATACTTATTATGCGAACTAAATATTTAAATAATAAATATAATGTCTAATAAAACAATGTTAGCAATATATACAACTTTTTTAACCATACCAAATTGTGAGAATTAGAATAAACTCTTTTAAGAAAGAAAATCGTTTTAAATTTGAGGACTAAAAAAATCATTAAAAATCTGAGATTAAATTAATTATTTTAGATGACAACAAAATATTTTTACGTTTGAGAAATTAAAAGTTAGTTTTAAATATAGAAGCATAACCAAAATATAAAGGATAAAAATATATTTATGATAATATGAACTTTACATCAATAATTTTGAATAAATTGAACATTTAAAATATATGTTTTAAAATATGAATATACTTTATCATAATTTATTGTATCTTAATAAAAAATATATTATTGATTTTCTTAAAAAACATTTTAGTTTTAATCTTATAAGTAACATGGGTAAAAAAACTCAATTAAATAATTGTAATGTTTATTAATGGTTGTCTGCTTTCAGATATTAATGCCACCCAGATCAAGTTAATAAATTAACAACAGTAATATATATATATATATATATATATATATATATATACATTAATAATATTTAGAAAATATAATAAAAAATTAATTTATCTATTTTTACTGTTATATATTATAGAGATATTGTAGATTAGTTTTACGTTCTGCTTAACAAAATGTTAACATGTGCTATCACTAATTTATACACTCTACCTCATTTTATATATTCTACTAATAAGAAAATTATTTTTCACTAAAAACTTAATATGATTTAAATTAAACACTTATTATGGTAATTTTAGTATTAAAGTGATTTGCTGTGTGGAGTTTTTAAGTTTATATAGTCAAAGGCTAAAAAAATTAATATCAACTTTTTAATGATTATCACCTCGTATAATTGAAGTTTTATTTTTAAGGACTTTATTTTGTTTTTCACATTAAATTAAGAAAAGATAATTCAAGAGGTATATCTGTTTTCACACTAAGGAGATTAATCAATTTGAAATCAAATTAATAATAACAAAATTAATATATTATTTAAAGGTAAGATTTTAAATTATAACTTTTTATATGATTAAATTTATAATAATTGAGAGACGGTTGGAATAAACGAAACTAATATAATTAAATATTACTACTAATTATATTTCTTAAGTAGTGTGAATTAGTATTATTTATTTATTTTTATTTAAGATGAGAGAGAAACGAACTCATAATTTGTATATAAAAAATATTTATATTTGCAACTCTTTGGATTGGTAGCCCTGATTCCAAATTTAAATATAATAAAACAAATTTAACTACTTTCACATTTCTTTAGATTTGAATATTTTAAAATAGGAGATTAGGAAATTAAAATTTAGTTTATATATATATATATATATATATATATATATATATATTTAAAGAAAGAGTAGCATGGTTTAAAAAATAGTAATTATACAAGAGAGAGAGAGAGAGTAGTGTTTTTGAGGAATTTTGGAAAAGCCTAGACATATGAGTAACCTAGTCAAAATGGAGATATGTAACGGATAATAAATAGCCCCTCGAGTCAATCCAAAAACCCCCGTTCCTTACTTTGCCCAAAATAATCTAAATAACTTGCAATTACTAACCCACCACCGCTTTCCAATCAAACACCACAACACAACCCTTCTTCACTTTGAAACCCCCACCCCATATTTATTCCCTGCAACAACCTCTTCCATTACAATAATCAACCCCTTCCTCTTTCCCTTCTCTCTCCACACCCCTCCTTTCTCCCTCACTCTTCGTATGCCTTCCTATTTCTATCCATTTTTTCTTTCCTCTAAACAACCTCCACTCTCACAAACTATGCTTTTCTCAGCCTACTAGTGTTAGCAAAAGCTAAGATCATGGTAGACATATATATGGCTTTTTCCTTCTTCTAGTTTATGTTTATGTTTCTCTCACATGCGATTCTGTGGTGTATTCCTTCATTTTTCATGCTTTCTTTAATTAATTATGCCACTGAGTAATTTTAAGCTTCTCAATCTTTCTGCACAAGATGTTGCATATTTGCTATTTCTTAATGGAATATTAGTTTTATGATTATTATTTTTATTGGAATGGAATGGTGACAGACCCAACCACACAGAGGTAGGGGAAAAGGCTATATAGAAAGAGATATGTTACATAGGTTGGCCTAGTGGACTCAGTTCAGACCACAAAGTAAGGGCTGCTTCTCTGATTTTTTTTTTCATATTTTTTTTTTCCTTTTGGTTGGCCACTTCTGATATCTAGCTTCCAGCTCGTAATTCTGCTATCACCTTCACACAGTTCCTCCATCATCTCCATCATGTCTTCTTCCAATAAACACTGGCCAAGCATGTTCAAATCCAAGCCTTGCAATTCCCAAAACCAATGGCAGCATGACAACAACTCTTCTGTCTTGTCCACTGGATGCCAAAGAAGCCCTTATACTTCAGGTTCGTAACAGTGATACTTAAAAGATCACTTCTTATTTTTCGGACTAGATTTTATCAGAAAACATTGCACTCATCTTTTCATGGTACAAAGGAAGAGAGTTTAACTCTTACCCTACAAAGTGGCTTGTAATATAATTCAAATGTTAAAAAAAATGTTTTAAATTACTCGACTACCCTATTCAACTCTGAATTCCAAAGATTAGTTAAGTTCTCTCTTTCGCAATTGTTCTGCAAATATTTGCACTGCATACAGTGTCATATTTTATTTTTCTGAATTTCACATCTTTTTGTATGTTTTTTCTTTCTATTTTAGTAGGAAGTGAAGAGAGAACTCCAGAACCAAAGCCAAGATGGAACCCAAAACCCGAACAGATTCGCATTCTAGAAGCCATCTTCAATTCTGGGATGGTGAATCCCCCAAGGGATGAGATAAGGAAGATCCGGGTGCAGTTGCAGGAGTATGGCCAAGTTGGTGATGCCAATGTCTTCTACTGGTTCCAGAATCGTAAATCCAGGAGCAAGCACAAACTCCGCCATATCCAAAACTCAAAGAACCAAAACACAGAAACACAACCAAACTCAGTTTCTCTCTCTCAAATCACACCACCTTCATCCTCATCCTCGTCCTCTGACAAATCCTCTTCAAAAGAATTAGTGCACCCCAATGGGTTCTCCTTTGGTTTCTCAAATGTCAATGATGCAGTGCCTAATTCTCCCACTCCTTCTGTGAATCAGACCTACTTTCAGTCTCACACCCACAATAACACCAATTTGCTACCACCAATAGAGTCTCTCTCCTTTCCTTTGCACAATAATGGTCAAGGTGTGATAGTTAATAATACCATCACAACGCATGGGTTTTCTGTTCCTCAATTCTCCAACAATAGCATGCAATCTCAACCTCAGTGTCAACCAAATGTTGGACCTTGCACTAGTCTTTTCCTCAACGAGATCATGAACCATGGAACCTTCTCAAAGAAAGACCAAGATCAGGACAGGGCATTGAAGTTAATGCACCCTCAACAACTTAGCTTCCCTCTGACTTCCTCTCCAACCACAGCCATTGTTCCTCCAATCTCAAATCTTCAATGTCCAATCACCCAACTTCAAGGTAATATACATAAGCTCGTGATTATTTCATAAATTTGAAAAAATCACACCATTATTTTTCTAAAATATTACATTAAACACACTAAAAAAATTAAAAAAAAAGTATTTAAAAAAATGAGATAAGGAAAAATAGGTTACAGAAGTTACAGAAAACTCTAGTCACATACAAATTCTTATGTAATTAGGTAGGGGGCTAGTACTGTAATTAGGGTATATATGCTGCACTGTTCATATACATGGACGTGTGCATGGCTTGATTGGCTTATGAAGATTGTTGTAAGTGATACTTTTCGACTTGCACATGAGAGATGATTCGGTGTGTGTCAGGTGTTGGTGGTGAGGTTGCAGCAGATAGAGCAAAATGTATAGTTTTCATTAACGACGTTGCATTTGAGGTTATGATGGGACCCTTCAACGTGCGCCAAGCCTTTGGAGATGAAGCTGTGCTTATCCACTCTTCAGGCCCTGTCCCCACCGACGAGTGGGGCACTACCCTCCACCCACTACAGCACGGTGCTTGCTATTATCTGGTGCGCATATAGTTTTGTTAAACACTGCAGTTCTTTTTCAAAGCTTTTCCTGTTAATCGCATGGAAATTAATTTTTCAAAGTTCCTTTTCTATTTTTGCAGATATAAGAAAGTGAAGCTGGAGGAGGGAACATGATTCAGATAAATATATATATATATATATATATATATATATATATATATATATATATATATAGTTTTTTATGTTTTTGTTTGGTTGGTCCCTTGTGTCAATGACTATAGGGTTTGCAATATGGTTCATAAAAGTGATAATGACTAGTTGACTGAAACTCTCAAGGTATAGAAATCATGTGATGGTTGACCAGGATATATGTATTTTCATTTTATGGATAAATAAGTTTACACAGTTTATTTTACTTTAAATAATATTGTTTTCACTTCAAGTACTTACTATAATTTTCTAGAAACAAAACTAAGAAAAAGAAGAAGAGAAAATAGGAACAGTGATTGAGGAAGAGCTTTTAATGTGATGACGGTTTATGTGAGATCATAATTCTCTCATATTTTCTGCCAGTTTTTGGGTTGCACTTACTTCAATTTTAAGTTAAGATTGTTTCATGCTTCTTCTTCTATTGCCACGATAGGGAAATAGTGATTGGATTTGTGTTATAGAATACTGCACATATATTCTCACCTTTTTCAACTTAATAAGTTTTTTATTATAGTAACAATTAATATAAAAAAATTCATTTAAATAATGATTTATGATAAATATTAAGTATTATTAAATAAATTTTATATATGTCTAAAATTAGAAAACTATTTAATATAAAAAATTTAAAATAAATTGTCAAACAACTTTTAGTCTCAGAATATATAGGGGCTTGATTGATTACATTCATTTATTTTTTAAATAAGTTTTAGAGACCAATTTTAAAAATTTATTTTTTTGTTTGATAATATTATATTTTAAAATTATTTTAAACAAAAGAAAATAAGATAAATGACCACAAAAAATAATATATAAAAAGTTAATTGAGTACTGAAAATTTGTTTGTGTTAAACGTGGGTTAGGGATGATTAGGTTATTCCAAGCCAATTTTCATTTTCTTTTATTTGAATAAAATAAACCAAATTATATATCGTGTAAATATATTATTGTCCATGTTTAAACATAATTTAAAAACTATTGTCATATTATAAATTTTTATCTCATATTCTATAAAATAACTCTTTCTTCACTCTGTTTTCTTTTTACTATTCTCCAAACATAATATCTTCTTAATACAATAAAAATAGTTAGTTTTATAATTTAAAACACAGATTATGAAAATAAAACAATAAAAAACATTTTACAAATATAAACATATAATAATAATAAATAAATGTATAGAACAACAAAACCGTTACAAAAATCTATTACGTCTTTATTAAATATTATACATAATTAAAAATTATTATTCAATAATATAGTAGTCAATAAAAATATTTTCATATGAAAAATATAAATTAAATCCTAATTACACTTAAATTGATAGACTTACACACCTTTAATTTAAAAGAAAATTATACTTAACTAAATAACACTTGCACTCACTTTAATTTTAAAATAAGCATACATCTCCCTTCTATTTTTAATAAAATTACATTCAAGCTTTCTCCTTCTAGTTTTTAAATATACATTTATCATCTCTCTTCAATATTTCTAATAAGTAATACTTATTTTATTTTATTTTAAAATAAAAATATTAACTAAAAAATCAAATAAAAAATTTTAAGAATTCAAATTTTAAATTTAAAAATATAAATTAAAGTTTCTTATAAAAAAAATATGATTTAACTGTAGGATTTTTGTTTTTATTTTTCCTTATATCTTGATAAATTTAAAGTATGATAAATATGTAATATAATATTATTTAAGAATCTTTACTTAACACTTTGAAATTTGTAAATTGTTAGTACTGTGATATTACTGATAATATGGTTATTAAAATATAATATAAAATTTTATCTCTCTGTTTTTTAATCTGGCTCATTTTTTTTTGTTTAAATTGTTAACTGAAGTAAATTATGAAAATAATTTCCGACACTTTATCTTGTTTTTATATGAAACAAATTTTAATAAATTTATAACATTTTTCAGAATCTTCTTAAAGTTCTTTAATTATTTTTTTCATTTTTAATCCCTAAACATATGTTATAATTATACTCAAATCTCTAATATTAAAGGTTGAATTTTAGAGATAAATAAAATGTTAAAAAACTTGAGAGATTATAAGTTATCCTTAATACAGAACTAATACAAGTGATTAAAATACAGTTTTTAAGATTAAATAGGTCAATTATGTGGATTATAGGAGGATTCCAGGGACAAGTTACGGGATATATGTACGTACTGCAATTAAGAACAGTAAGTAAAAAACTTAAGGGTAAATAGAATGGGTTGGTTCCAAATCAATCCATGTAACTCAATAAAATTTGAGTTGGGTTGAGTTGAGTTTTTATATTTTATATTTGATTTAGTTTTAATTTTATGGAAATAAATTAATTGGGTAACATTTAAAAAAAATAATTTCTTATTACATTTTTTAAAACTATATTGTTTATTATTTAAATAATTTAATAACGTAATATTTTAAAAATATATATTTAATTATTTAATTATTATAACAATTGAATAATAATTATATTAGTATTATTAATATTAATATTGTTTTATAATTTTTGATTGTGTAGATTGGATGAGTATATAAAAGCTGTTATTGAAATGAAGGACGAAGACTCCTACCTAAAGAATTTGGTTTGAAAGCGAATGATGATGGTAACGTTTTTACAGAAAATGGTAGTTTTTGTCTTGAACTGAGACGGAGACAGAGGAAAGTTGTTGCGGAATAGAGAGAGATAGGTAGCAAATTGCTTTGCGTGTGGTTTCATAACAACAGTGCTTGCACTCTCATCTTTCATCTTTCATCCATGCAATGCCTCGATTTGACAACTACACTTCTCTGCCCTTTGAAATTCCTCTCACACGTCACACCCAAACATCCATTTTCATATGTTATGTTATCATCACCTCCAAGACTCGTTATGTGAATGGTATTATCGTTTCCCACTTTCTCTCTCTATAATGTGGGTATCTGTTCTGCATAGAACTATGATTCATTCAGGGAAATGAAGCAAAGATATTTTAATATAATATCCTGTCTTCATCACTCATTCACGGTGGAAAATTGTGTTCGTTCGGAAAGAGGAATGGATTTGATAGAAGAAAAAATAAATGGAAAGTAGGATTATTTAGATTAGAAGGTTAATATATTTCACAATCATGTAAAAACAAATCTCTCCAACAACTCAATTTATTAATATAATAAATCTGAGGTTTGATGAAAATAAAAATATTTTAAAATTATTATTATATTATTAAAATCAGTTTTAAATTACATGTTTGAGAAAATCTACTTGTCAAAATAGTTTTTTCCTATTAAAAAAAGAAAAAAAATGAAAAATAAAGAAAAAATTAGTAAAAATATAATAAAAAAATAAAACTATATGATTGAGCAAACAAATTAAATAATAATATAAAAAATATATTGACGAAAATAATTAATAAAATATGTACAAATGAAATTATATAATTTAATATAAATTAATTATATTATATTATAGATGAATATTTATATATATTAAAATTAATTTATATATAATTTATAAAAATAATTTGTGATATTTTAAAGAAATATTTAAATCTTATTTTTTATAATTATAAAAAATTAGTAAGTATTTTTAAAGTTGAAAAAATTGTTTTAAAATTAAATTTTAAATTATTTAAATAATTAATTACAAATTTTTATTTCACATGCTAATTAATATATATACATACACACACACATATATATATATATATATATATATATATATATATATATATATATGTATGTATAATAAAAAATCATAAAGAAAAATAAAACTATATATTAAAATTACATTTAAAAAATTAAATTTTATTAATAACTTACACTGTAATATTAATATATTTAAATAAGTTTTAAAAAATATATTTTTTCAATCGCTGAAATTTTAAATATATCTTTAATTTCATAATATAAATTATATATAATTATATTATTTTGTTTCTTATATTTTAAAATTAAATAAATATATATTTTTATTAATATTATACTTATTTTTTAATTAAATTTTTTATTTAAATTCTTCACAAATGATATCAATAAAATTGTTTAAATCTTATCAAAATTTAACTATAATTAAAAATATCATTTTATTTAAATTTCTATTAATTATAATTTTTGTTTAAATGTTTGTCAAAGAATAAAATTATTTGAATCTTATTGAATTTTAATTAAAATTAAAATATTATAATTTTTCCTTTTAAATTTCTACTTTGAAAATATTTTTTGCAATCGCTTTTTTTTTAACGATAACTATTTTAATATAAAATAAATTAAAAATATTAATAAAAATAAATAACAAATTTAATTTCACTTAATTTAAAAATGTAATCTATCAAATAAAATAAATTTATTCAAAATTCAAACTTAAAATTTTAATAATTATAATTATAAGAGTTTAATTGTTAATATAATTTTTATTTTATAAAAAATATTATAAAAAAATAATTAATATAACAACTAATATATTTATTATAAATAATTATATCTAGTTAAATTATATTTAATAATATTTTTATGTATCCTCTAGTATTGTTTTTATCGCAAATAAGAGAAGTTGTATTTGTTTAAATAATAAAATTGAAGTTTGTAGTTAAAACATAATTAATTTGTATTTTATACGTTACATAATTTAATTTTAAATATAATTGATTATGAAATTAGAGATAATCTCATTACATAATCATGTTCTAAAGTATAATAGATTATTTTCTCTCTTGTAATCAATTATGTTTATTTATTCTATTTAATAATTAATAATGGATTATGATTATTTATTCTATTTAGTAACTAATAAGGAGTAATAAAAACATTCAAAACATTTCACCCAACTTTCTCCTCAAATATCTTCTACGAGAAATTC